CTTCTGTCAGTCTGTCCCAGGGCAGCTGTGGCTACAACTGCAGCTTTCCTCCACCAGTGTGTGAATGTGAGAGTGAATGAATAGTGGCATTGTAAAGCTCAACCGGTTTTTAACATGCAGCGCAAGGATCCGATTCCCCCCTGTGGTGCGTCATAAAACTAAGGCACTGTGTGTGTGTATGTGTGTCTTCCTGCTGATCACAAAGTGTCATCTTTCCTCACCCTGTATATGGTGTAATCCCTTTAACGGTCCACCATACACAGGCATAGGTGAGGTCATAAAGGGGAGGAAGTTTACTAAATAAGAAAACAGAACCTTCACATAGGATGTGTCTGCAGTTAAACACTATAGCCTCCCCCACGAGGAGACCAGAAGAATATCTAAACATGCAGTTTGAAACAAGGTTTACAAAATTTAAGTACAATAATGACAACTATTATCAAAATCAACCTAACAACTACCTCTGGTTGTCTCGTTCCTTCATATTTTTGTTTCTTTCTTCTTCGATGATAGCACAGGTATGATGCTTTATATCTTGAGTCTGAAGGCGCAGAAAGTAATTTAAATGTTCCTCATTCACACATGAACGCATGTAATTTCTCCTCTCCTCCGCCTTTGGCTTAGTATGTATGTGGCTGGTCTCTTGTCACCTATGTGCAAAACCATTAGGCAGACGGAAGATGTCCTTCCCAGCCAAGGATTCAAATATGGTGGAACATGGTGGATTTCGCAAACTGGCAACTGCTCGTGTGCATATTTAATAGATTAATCATAAGTCTATGTGTTAGGTTACTGATAGCTAAACTTATTAGTTTTTTGGAAGTTACACATTAATCTATTTAATAGAAAAATACTTTACTCATAAATATATCTTAAAGAATGTCTGACTGCACCTTCAAAGTCTCTCAGAGTAATGAGAAATGCTGGCACCACTTTGGATCTCATGTTCAGAAACATACCTTTGGTTAATGGCAGCAACTGGTTCAAATACATCAATGATCCCCATGAAGGAAACATTTTGGTTTCCATCAACACATTATTCTTCTGAGGCTGCTGGAGGTTAGAGAGTGTGAACTGTAATAAACTTCCTCATAAATAACAGCTAGATCCAACATGTTTATTTCCAACACACGTACTGTATATATGAATATAAGGCAGTATTAATATAAACTCCTCCTGCCTGCAGGTGTGGATGGTGTAATCAAATTCACCTGGTTTTTCCATCAAACAGTTGCTGGAGCTGAATCTCAGTGCTGACAGTAAAGCTGAAATAACTCATTAAATCTACCATAAACATTAACTGCTGCACTACTTTCTAATTATGAGAAGAATTCATGTTTAATTCTGAGAACAGAGTGATGTATCCGTTCCTTTCAGTCAGAGCAGCTTCAAACATGAGACACACAGAAGGGTGACACTGGTCTGTCGATGAGAGCTGTGTTTTATCTCAAATGCTGAATCTGGGACGATCTTCGGCTGCATTCGAGCCTCTCTGTACAGTCTGCATATTGACGCCTACCTCTGCAGAGGCTTTAATCCTGTTACAGTTTCCTTCTTATCGGCTCTGCCTTCAAACGAGCTCAGCTGCTGTGTTTGTGACAGCCTCCTTTGTTTCAGCAGTGCTTGCTTCATAGTTCAGTCACGTTCCAGAAGGTTAAAGGTCATTTATCACCAATAATTGATAAATAGGGGTCCAGGAGTCCAATGGGGCTTTTAATAAGATTGTAATTCCTCTTTAATTAATGGAATTTGAATGCATTTTAATGCAATTGATGGAACTTCAATGCAATTGCATTTTACAGTACAGTACAGTAGAGACAAACTATACTGTAGTTAATTTTAAGTACTGCATAATTTCTTGGTTATTTTGGAGAAAAGCAATATTTCCCCATCTTGCATCTTAAGCACACTTTGCTTTTCAGGGCTTGGGTCGTATTATAAAGTGTTGCTCAATGTTTTTTAATTAACTTGATAATTAAATAAAATTATTTTGTCTCCGTAAGGGAAACTTCTAAACCATCAGCATGGCAGACTGAGGCACAGACTGATGAAAAATGATTTCTTCTGTGCTGTTTTTGAAACAGATTTACATAAAACTGTATTAAGTATGAAGAGTCAAAGCTCTAAATGATCAGGCCTGCTTCATGTGACTACCTTACTGTAAGTCTTCAGCTTCAGGTGTGCTCTAAGATGAAGTCCACCTGGTCCTCCCTGTGAATCCACAGCTCTAAGAACACTGGGAGAGTAAAATCTTTTCTTTGGGTTGTGATGTTTTTTGTCCTTGCTTAAATAGCTATGAAAACATCAAATCGAGAAAGGTGAAACCAATTCTGTGATGATATCTAAACTGAGAGACTAAAGTGTCCTCTTACCTGGACAGGTACTGTCCTGAGGTCAGCAGCTCGTGCTTGTTGGGTTTGTCGTAGCAGTTCATCGTGTTCTGGATCAGAGCCAGGTCTGGCCTCACCGCAGTCGCCGCAGCAACAGCCCTGGTGATGAGCTGCAGGGCGTCTCTAACGTAGTAGTCAAGCGGTTTCCGTTCCACCTCACCGTAGGCCAGTAGGCCAAGCGGCAGCCCGATGGTGTGCAGCACGTCGGGGCTGAGCGGCTGACCCAGCACCCAGTGTACCATGGGTAACGTCAGGCCCAGGTCCTGGGCGCTGCGCAGCACAGCCGCTGCGCACTGCGGGTCGGCCCCGAACAGCAGCACTGAGGCTGGTGAGGCTTGGTTCTGCCGGAAGTGTCGAGACAGGAAGTCGTGGATCTGCGTGTCATCGTGAGCCAACTGCGTCAGGTTCAGCAGGGCTCGCAGGTGCCAGGTGACCCTCCTGCCGCCCTCCCACGATGCACTGCTGTGATGGTCTAGGAGCTGCAGAAGACCCCGAGCCTCCTCCCAGCCCCGACACAGCACGGCGGTCCCCTCACGCCAACCGGACCGCTGCAGAACAGTCAGCAGCAAATCAGACAGACCGGACTCTGGAACACCCGTCACCATCTGCAGGTGGAACCGGTTCTGGAGGAGAACAGTTTTAGAAAGGAGAATATCAATCAGATCAGTCAGTCCTGTTCGTGTCTGGAAGTTAAATCTGCTACTAAAGAGCAACGCTCCACAAACCCACACAAAACCACCAAGAAACAGCTTCCTGTTTCAAACCATCAGAGGAGAACATCAGAGAACAGACTCTGGTTTACATGTTCAGTTGGTCTTGGAAAAAAAAATCTGATATGCTTTTATTTCTGAAGTGTGAACAGATTGTTAGTGACATGAAAACTGTGAACTGATTCCTACGAAGTTCTCACAAAAGTTTATACATGACACACAAAACATACAGCAGAACATACATTCATTTAAAACAGCTTCCTGTGGGTTGAAGCAAACTAACGGAGGAGGGCACCTGTGCTGCTCATTTCCAGCTCCACCTTTTGATTCCTCTGTGGCCACTTCACATGTTTCCACAAGACCCGAGTGTTACTTCAGCGTGTGCGTTTGTTTTTGTTGTTTACACCACATTGCCGGGTGTTCACACTGTAACATGAAGACCTCCCTGCAGGTGTGTTCAGGTATGATAATCAGTCCTGCCGTGACCTTTGAGCCAGGCACTCACCTCAAAGCTGCTGATGTCTCAGCTCAGGTGCGGCTGCAGGTGATCAGTTTATCACCTGCAGCCGCTGATGCTTGAAACCATCAGACAGCTGGAGGCAGATCAAAGAGATGCTGCACTCTCTGTTGCTACGGTGATGCAGGACACGTCCTCTGTCCGTCACTGTGACAATGCACTGACAGGCGGAGCTTTAAGGATTTGAAGTGTCAGACCTGCGAGAACAGAAACGTTGGATTGGCCGTCAGGTCGACACCTCGCTTTACTGCAGTTCACCTCTAAATACGCAGCAGCATGAGGTCACCTGAGGTCACCTGAAGTCAGGACAATGTTTGGTTTTGAACAGATAAGGTTTCTGGGTACACTGTGATGTCATTTCCTGTTTTTACTCTCAGCAGTTTCAAAGGACCACGAAGAGTTCATTTTAAGAATGTTTAAGTTTGAGGACTGTGGCCACGCACACAGTCACACGACGTCACAGATCAGAGACGATCCTCGCTTCAGAGCCATGAGATCACAGCAGAATAATTGGGTTAAATCTGAGTTGAGACACCTGAAATCAAGAGGAGGATGAAGAGGAGAAGGAGACAAAAGCAGTTTGCTCAGGAAGATGATGATGATGATGATGATGATGATGATGATGATGATGATGATGATGATGAAGAGCCCAGTGAATATGCAAGTTCCTGAGCTCCAGAAATTTTGTGCGGACTGCAGCATGAAACGTTTCCTGAGGAGAAACAAAAAAGCAGCTGATTTTACTCGTTTCACTCCCAGAATAAAAGCAGCCCTACAGGGTCTACCTGTCCTAGGGCATCATGGGAAATGCAGGAAATCACAGATGGAAGCAAAAGGGCCGTGACGCTTGAATTTTTAAAACATGAACTCGTAATCCTCGGAACAAAGGGTCATTTCCCGTTCCCGATGGGATCAAATTGTCAATCCTCTCAACTGCATCTGGAAACGTTTCTGTGTGTGTGTGTGGGTTTGTGTGTGCGTAAAACACACTGTGTAGTTTTGTGTGTATCTGTGTGTGTGTGTGTGTGTGTGTGTGTGTGTAAAACACACTGTGTAGTGTTTTTCGTGTTTGTGAGTCTGTGTGATGTTAATCGCAGCTGCACAGATTTAACCACTGGACCACTGGATGTGTGTGATGGAGGAACAATGAAACACACACACACTGATCTGCAGTGTGCGCACAAACAGGCTGTGATTTAAACTTAGATCACTCTGAGCAGAATGCTGCTCGCTTCTTCATTTCAGAGGTTGTCAGGATATCAGATGTTCTTCCTTTCATGAACATTTTGTGATCTCAGTACAGAAACCACAATATGAGAAAGAACACTTAATAAAAACACTAAATATAAACGTCATCGCCTCTAACTCAGACATTTGTCCACGACATTCGCCCGGGATCAAACGTATCTGGGATAAACCTGGACCCGAGTTTTGATCTTCTGCTGAGCCTGCAGGTGCACCATGAAAAACTCATGAGACATCAACCACCAATGAGATCCTGACGCTGAGCTCCAGGTGCTAAATAAATGTATTCAAACACCTTAACATTGGCCGAGTGTGTTTCAGACTACGTCTACACTAATCCACTGCTTCACTGAGTGAATGGGTTAAATGCAGAGAAGAATTTCCCCACGGGGATCAATAAAAGTGTACATTATTATTTAATCCAGATAAAATTCAAAACAACGTTTTTGTCTAAAAACACTCCGCGTCCGCACTATAGTTTTCAGGGGGTTTTTTTGTTTCCGAACAGTTGTTCATCCACACTGAAACGACAGAAAACGCTTACATTGCTGTATTGTGCATGCGTGAAACGTAAGACAATTCGGCCTGCCTCATTTCTGTCTGCGGTTTATTTACTTTCTGCCTCTTAGAAACGTCGCGGCAAAATGTCGAGGAAAAGAACCACGTTTTTTAAATGGACTGACAATAGGACTGTCAAAATTGAGACCAAACAAAACAACTGCTGTATAATGCTCTCCACTATCTTAGTTTAGTTGATCACATGACTGCATCATATGACTAAAATGCATCATTGTTTTCGTAAAGCTCCAGGTTCACAGTCCACACTGTGACGCAAAAACCAAATGTATCCGCTTTGGAGAGCGTTTTCGAACACCTCCGTTTTCCATGACCAAAAACTCCATCTCAGGGTGGACTGAAGGTCAAAACTGAGAGAAAACGATACGTTTTCAAACGAAAACGTTTAGTGTGGACATGGTCTCAGTGTTTCTGACTCACCTGGATACAAGTGGTATTTTTCAGCACGGAGCTGCAGCTCTCTGCAGCTTCTCCACCTTTCTCCAGGCAGTGCAGGTGCAGGTGAAGCTGAAGTGTTAACTCTGAGGTCTGTTTGTTATTTTGGAGCCGTCAGGCTGTCGGCTCCCTGCAGACTTAAATGAGGCCATCCCGGCATTTCTGACCAGCCGTTTGGATGATAACTTGTCATCCTACAGGAGAACTGCGAGAAGAACAAACCTACCCTCTCTGATTTACAGAGTGAAACCTGAGATCATCTCCTGACAGGAAACACAGGTGAGACCTTAAACACACCATCAAACTCTGAGGAGTTTCTGTTTCGAAAGCTAAAGCTCACCGAAGAGTCGCTAAGACCAATGTGAATGTTTCATTATTCAACTGAGCGTTAACAGCAATGCGGAAGAAAAACTGTGACGTTTCAGGTGATGGAGATGTGCAGCTGCTCTGAGTCTGAACAAAGTCAATCAATAAAACACAGAAATGAGATCAAAGCACACACTGAATAAAAGATGAAAAAGAGGAGATAAAAAGACAGCAGAGATGAAAGATTCACAGCTGAAACACAAACTGAGTTCATTTACAGCCAAACATTAGAAACCCACATCTGACTGAAGCTAAACATAACAGATTCAACAAGAAGCATCCACCACAGCGACAAAGCAGGAAGCAGGACGGGTCGCTTTACAGAGGAGCTGCTGAGAGAGTCTCAGATCATTCTGCGTTTCACCGAGGAAGGGGTTATTGATTGTCATGCGCAGCAGAAAGAGGAGCATCATCAGCATAGAAATTAAACTTTGATGAGGAACACCCAGCCTGAACTTGGTCCTTTCAGAGAGGATGGGGGAAAAAAATCTTTCTAGCATTCTGAATTGACCCACTGCAACATCGAGAGCTGGCCAGAGGAGTGATGAAGCTCAGGACAGCCTTTTTTCCAGCCAGCCAAGCAGAGTTTTAGCTTTGGGGGATAAAAGACATGTTTTTACACATGTCAGAAATACATTTTCAAGTATTTTATATTGTGCTTACACCTAACCCATAATCACACAGTTTAAACCAGGGTAAAAATGATGTGGTAGACTCAAAAGAACAACACAAATCAGTAGAGTGTCACAATGGGACACGCCGCTAAGGAAAAACGAGGTAAAAACTAAACTAAACCTACACTGGGAGCAGCTAAACGACTATGACATTTAGAACATGAAACAAGAATATGAAATTGAACAGGAACATGTGAAACATGAACGTAAAGAAAACTAAATCTGACGTGAGTATAAACTGTTTATACAGTTTAGGTTATAGGTTTATACTGTATTATATCAGTGTTGACACATCAGTACTTAGACGTGGAACAGCATTGGCGCCTGTGTTTGGCTTTGCCGCCGCTGCTACAGTTCATTGGAGGCGACAGTGTAGTTTTTCGCTGTCGTCACTTGTTGTTTGCAATATAATTTTTGCTCTTTTGTATTCTGACTTTGCTTCTGCTGCTTTAATTTATGATCGGGATACACTGTTAAACATTAAAGACACAATGGAGAGCTACTGTGACAGCTGGGACAGCTACAGAAAAACGTTTCCTCCTCCTCTGGTGTGTTCCTCACCTGATTGCATGCTACTGTGAACAACCCGCGGCATTTCTACCCTCAAGAGACGAAAAAGAGGAACGAGGGCCGGCGTCCAGGTCCAACGTTCGCTCTATAATGAACAAATCATTTATTCTAAATGATTTTTTTTTATTAAAGAGTCTCTAGATTTTATGTGTCTGACTGAGACGTGGCAGCAAAATAAGGATTATTTTGCTGTCCACTTAAATGAAATCTGCCCGTCTGGCTGTTCTGTCATTGGAACTCCGTGTCTTTTAGGACGTGGTGGAGGACTTGCTGCTGTTTACCAGGACAGACTCATATGCAAACTGAAGACCTCGGGCTTCTTTTCTTCCTTTGAGTCACAGGTGATGAAGGTGGGTTCTCTGAAAACCTTTTACTGTATTTTAATCTATTGACCTCCTGGACCTGCTGGGGCCTTTCTAACTGAATTTAACGACCTTCTGACATTGATCATTAAACTGGAGAAGGTTGTAATATTGGGAGACTTAAACCTTCATATTTATGACACTTCCTGTAACACTGCTGATGAGCTC